AGCGCCACTAACAGCCGCTCCTTTTGCACACAATACGAGGTTCACGCAGCCGGGCGTCTACCGTCTCGCTCGTCCGCTTTACTCTCTCATCTCCAACGTCTCTTCCCTCGTCTCGAGACACTGTTTCCAATATGTTTTAGACTATCTGTCCCTCCCTGTCTTGTGAACACGTGGGCAATCCAGGAGAATTTCAGTGCTTCTTTAGAGTGTTTTGGGCAGTTCCTTCCTGTTTATCTTTCACTAGTTTCACATTGAGTGGAACAGCCATCAATTCTATAGTGGAAAAAATTTAATTTGAAATATTTTGGTTAAGGAAATGTCACGCCTCTTAAGCAGTTTGTGTGACGGGCTGAGCGAGCTAATTCTAGGTTGGAATTAGTTCAGGCCGCTGAAGTAGAAGATTGTAGTTTGTGGCTGTGAAACAGTAAAGGAAGTGATCACGATGGCTGGAGTGGTGCGGATTTGATGACTTCACTGGATGTCATTGGTGGGGTGGACCCTTCATCGCGCTGGAGTGGCAGCTGGGACCAACTTTTGAAGCCCTTTAGCAATGACGTCCAGTGATATCATCAAAGCCACACCGCTCTCCACCAACTGTTTTAGGGTTTGGAATATCTCCATTCGTCTCAAATCGGCTTCCATGGTTCACTTACTCCTTGGGCTTGTCTCATCGATCGAAATTGGACGATTAAGCTGACGGATTTTGGTAGGTATTTCGTATTTCAAAATTACAGAGCTACCCGTTACCTTCCCATACATACCTGTATGCCTTGGCCAACATCCAGGATCAGCGTTCGTTGCGCAAGTTTAGCACACCATGGAAGCTCCACACGACCCTCCCCCCTCATCCTCACCACCCGCACCATTATGGTGTTTCTAAGTTGTTTGTTGCCATGATACCATATAGGAGTGAAGAGAAGGAACTGTTTTGATTTTGACTATTACATACATTTTTTCTGAAAACTGAAAAAATAAGTCAAGTGCTACTCCCACTTCTCACCCCCCCCCCTTCCCACCATTACAAAACAAATCCGTCTTCGACCGCCACAACCGCTCTGCGAATATCAAATACGACCCCACCCGATTATCACAGATACGAGAAATCAGAAACAAGGCTCTCGATCCAAAAAGTTTTCGATTTGGTCCCTCTCCCCGCCCCCGCGTATTTGACACAACGGTCACTTGTTCCTGCCCGTAACAGATATTGGACTCTGCGATGGCAAGAGTCTGAGTTCAGGAACATGAGATGGTATGCCACAAGTGGCACGTAATGGCTTAGGCTGTCACGCAGCTTGCTTTGTTTTAAGTGCTTTTGTAACGCCGCAGTTCGCGATGCTCTGTGAAACAAACCTGCCCCGCAGGGACTCCCCTCTCTTGGCTTAGTGGGAAGGCGCTAGCGATGGCTCACGTTCACAAGCGTTTCTTCAAATGACACATCAAGCAAGGTGCAAAGCGTTCGCATGAACCAAGGGTGCCAAACTCAACTTCTCAAGCAACGGCGTTATTCAAGCATCACGTTCTCTCCATAAGGCCGATGTCATAGTTTGCGAATCGAGCGATTCGCTAGCGAATCGCTGGATCCGAGCGTTGCGCCAGCGAATCGAACGTTGCACCAGCGAATCGAACTTTGCGCCAGCGAGTCGAACGATGTACCAGCGAGTCGAACTAGGTACCAGCGACTCAATAGTGGCGGGACCCAACGTTTAAAGGAAGCCCGCCACTTTCAAACAGTGTCACGTGACAGTGGACGCTGTTTGAAAGTGGCGGGACTTTGCAGTGGACACTGTTTGAAAGTGGCGGGCTTCCTTTAAACGTTGGGTCCCGCCACTATTGAGTCGCTGGTACCTAGTTCGACTCGCTGGTACATCGTTCGACTCGCTGGCGCAAAGTTCGATTCGCTGGTGCAACGTTCGATTCGCTGGCGCAACGCTCGGATCGAGCGATTCGCTAGCGAATCGCTCGATTCGCAAACTATGACATCGGCCTTACGGCTGAGCTCAACAGGCCGCTGCAGCTGCGACGTGATTACTTGTAGCGAGCGATTCGGCACTTCTGAAAAGTCGGTTCTTGTGCACAGCAACGGCGCTAAACGCCGGAAGCTTAACGTAATACTTTCTATGTTTTCTGAGCTTATAATTTTACTTGCCGGATGACATTGCGAACTAAGCTAGCTGACACGTTTTGTACTCGCTGGTGTTCCAGTGTACACTGCGATTATCGGTCTCATCACCTTTAACTCTTACTTATTGGTAATTGGTTTTATTGGAGTTTGATAAGCAACGATTTTGTCTAGGAATCGCTGATTCGCTGGAACGATGGGAGAAACAAGGTCTGATTGCCACGGAAACTCTGAAGGAGGGTGAAGATGAATGGAAAAGCGGTTCACTACAGAAAACAAGTAAGTTCTACAGTTTTTTCACTGTTATTATGCTGCTGAGCGTAATAACACAACAAGTCCTCGGATTCCAATAGCCATGTTACCGTACACATACCGTACCCAGACGTACTGTACTGCTGGACTGTAATGTTGCTAGGAGAATGCTTGGTGCTTCTGCGAAGGTTACGATCTACTCAGACGACACGTTTGAACGACCGTCCTTTGGCAAGTTAGGAATAATCAAGTGACGAGATATAAGCTCCTTCAATTTCAGCCGAAAAATGCGACGGAAAGGTGCCGATTGCAGAGTGGGATCGAAAGTATCGTTTGGCTGCAATCAGCTCTGGAAAATTTCGTCAGTTTATTGCAGCATTGTTAGCCATGCTGCTGGTCAAATTTGACCAACGTTGGCCAATCATTCCATTGAAATATTGTATTATGCGGCGTTCCTTTCGCTGCTAGCCAAGTGAAGGGATAGACTTAAAGGCAGACCCCCTTATGTACGAGTGCAGGTCGATCAATATCATCAGTGAGTAGATAGAGCTAAAGTGTAAATACGTAGCTGTGCAGTTCTCAAAGATTGAAAGTACGCAACGAGAGCGCAAGGATCTTTCGAGACTGCTTCAACCGCTTCCGTTTTTGCTCATTCGCGACATGCTGCTGTCTGCAACCTCTGTTCAATTGCAGCTCAAGAGATTTTGTCGGCGGCTAATTTCTGTCACCAAACCTACTGTTATAGACATTCATAAGAAGACAGCCTGAAGGTACACGTGAAAAGTTGGTCAAGCTAAAAGGTGGACAAGGGGTCAGAATCAACGTGATGAGCCAACGTGTCGAGCAGTTCTCGCGTGGGGGTCGTATTATGCGACTCTTTGGTGAAGGGCAAAAGTAGTACTCAGAGAATTTAGATAGGTATTCATTGAAAAAGCGAGAGTCGAGTATAGTTAGGGCGTAGGGGTTTTATATAGAATTTTAAAACGGGTGTTTTCACAGAATTTCGAAAACTTCCTGACCTTACACCCACTCCTTTTTCACTTTTCTCAAACATTGTTGACAGGAACATTTCTGGTAAAAGTTAGGTTAAGTTCCATAAATTAATGAGTAGGACTTAGACAGGCAAGTGGGTCGTGAGGCCTGAGCTGCTATTTATGAGAGGGGTGGGGTAAATGCACGCGGCTTCCTCTGGTGTAGATAGCCATACCTGCGCGGTGATTGTGGTTGTAGGGTTTCACCTGTACCCACGAGCGGGGCTGAAATTAAAAGTGCTACTTCCAGGTCATATTGTACCAACCACCTGAGACACTGAGAAATCGCGAAGAGAATCGATGCGGCGATCCGATCAGGTATGACTTACGGTAGTGACTTAAGTACTGTACATACGTACAAATCAAAGATCACTTTAGTCTTGGCTGAAACAGTCTCAAGCAAGGCGTCAAATGGGTGACATCTACGCATTTGGTATGGTAATGTATGAGATTCTCTTCCGAGCGCTGCCATTCCCAAGCACTGCTGACATTGATGGTAAGGATAAAGTGAATCACCTGTTGTAGACAGACTTGTCCTTTCGGTATCAACCAATATTTCTTTTCAGAGATTCTCGACTACATACGGGACGGCAAGCGGTCCTACCGTCCCACGATTCAGGACAAAACAGAGATCCATCCTGATCTCACCGCGTTGCTCCTCGATTGCTGGCACGAGAATCCCGAAATGAGACCGTCGATTCGACGAGTTCGACTCAATACTGAGAGCTATCTGAAAGTGTAAGGAACTCCGCAGTAACGGAGTTTTACTAAATCAATAATTCAGTTCTTGGTGGTGCTAACTTCACGGCTTCTGGACCACCCATTTTTTGTGGTTGGCCCGCTTGCTGACAAGATATGAAGAAAAAATCGGGTCTGCCCCCCTTTGACAGCAAGGTTGTTAGGTTTCTAAGTCACCAGGCACATTGCAATACTAATGTTAGTAAAGGGTGAAGCGTATGGAGTCGGCGAAATTAATTTTATTGGTTGAGGATGTGCATTCGACTTCGCGTTCAGAATCGCTGCGTCTATGCGCCAGTTTATCGCATTAGGCCTATAAAGTGCCTTATAAGCCAGTCAAGGTTGAAGATACTGGAAGGCGGTAATGGAAGTCTGAAAAGCCTGAATTATGAACTAATGGGAGGAGATTAGGCTCGGAATCGACTCTGGAACCATTTGTATGAGAAGCGCACTTCACAATCCTGCCCTATACCTTTTTTGAGTAGAAATCGCCTGAAATAGGTTACAGTTTCCAACTCAATCTTTCACATTCGCTTTATCGTCATTATCTCTTAACGTTGGTTATCACATTTACTCATGCTTCTGCTAAGTGATCCAGTAAATAATTTGCTGTCTCGAATGCACCTATCATCCTCTTTTTGTCAGGGAGGCTCGCTTGTCGCACCAAATGATGCGTATGATGGAGCAGGTATGCTTGAATTCGCATAACTATTCATAGCTACAGCCCCATGCAGGTTTGGGAACTTTAGAAATGAAGGCAGTGATCGCAATGGGTAGAGGGGCGCTGCTTTCGATGCGGCTATATGGACGTCATCAATGGAAGTGCAATCAAAAGATGGTCCCATACACAGCCTCAGTACGCTTAGGGGTCTAGTCCACCGATAACATTCAATGACGTCATCAAAACCACATCGGCCCCGTCATCGTGATCACTGCCTTTGAGGATCAGACGCGTGAATAAGCGTGTTTTTTTTGGCAAACTTTCTTGGAGCGCCCTTGTCATGAATTCTCATACTTTGATGTCCACTTGGGCAGACAAACAATGTTTTGTTACAGTATGCAACAGTTGGAAAACTCGTCCAGGAGGTACGGCATTTGGAGGCACGCGAATGCACGCGACAAGCTCCTCGCCAACTTCTTCCCAAGTATTTGTCGGTTTTTATGGGTATCGTAGATCCCCATGAGCCTTCCGAGCACACATCGTTAACACTGGCCACCACAGCCAAATGTTGTTTGCGTCGATGAATCACTAATAATTTTATGAACTTAAATTGAGATCTTACAACAATAAAAATGAAAATAACAAAAAAATTAGGTTGATTGCTCGAAAAGTGATTGTGGTTGTGGTTGCTGGTCCAAAACTAATGAAAGAATGCAAAAATCACATAGCGTGCTGACCGAACGGGCGGAGTTTGTCCTTCCGCATGCTTATCTTAATGGTTAGCTTGTTTCCCTGATATGACAGAATCCGTTAAAGGTATTCAGGCCTGATTGAGAGAGTAGAAGTTCTGAGCACAAATTACGAATGGCTCGCAATCTGGTGCTGCAGGCTCTCAACGGCTTCCTTCCTTTAGTGATGGACCGATCAGCTTCACTCTCGGACTCAATGACCTACACGTATTCAATCGCCTTTCAATAAAGCGTTGCAGGCAAATCTGGCCAGTGTTAGCCGTAGCCAACTGGCAGATAAGTAAATGCTCGCGACAAGGAACAATGCATCATTACAATACAAGCCATTTTCCGAGCTAACCAAATTTGGCCCCTCCATCTGAAACGGCGAGAAAAGGAATTAATCCGTTGATCCGTTGTCTGTCCTACCATATGCTCCCTAAATAAGCGGATACTTCAGGTACGTGGCAAACGAGCTGAAACCTCGGCCGGCCCGTGCCTCCGAAAATGTTCCAGTCGGCCACCGGTGATGTTCAGGTATTTATTAGCTGCTTCCTATATACGGAATGTTCTTGAACAGATAGGAAAATTCATTTGGATTGGAAGGAATGAAAAATATTAATATTATATAAATATAGTGGTGTGAATTTTTTTTGCAGCGATATTGTTGGATTTACCACTATATGTTCCTCATCCTCACCTCTGGAAGTCGTCAATATGCTCAACGGAATTTACACGAAGTTTGATGACGTCATCAATAAAAACCAATCGTATAAGGTTAGTTTCGAGTTCAAAATTCACTGCACTGAGAACGTAAGGCTGGTGAGGACATCTCTACCGATTCTGCCTTCCATGGAGGCTCCCTTCCCTTATTTGACGCTCTACGCATACCTGATATGAGAAACAAATTCGAGGAAAATAGCTGTTGAAGCAAAAACTGGAGGACTTTCGGACACCGGTAAGGACCCCCTTAACCGATTGGTCCCTCGATCTGGTATAGCTGAATAAGGTGAGATCTGCTTCGTCTGAGACAACTGAGGCTTTTCTTCCACAGTTCTTTTCTTATTGCATTCCGTCAGGAAGCCTCTTTTGTGCTTCTCGAGAAACGGTGGCGATCTTCCTTCTCTATTATTCCTTCAATATTTTCTTTTTTTGTAAGCTCAGTTTTAGGTGGAGACAATCGGTGATGCGTATATGGTTGTCTCCGGCATCCCAGAAGAAAACGGTACCAGACATATCATGCACATTTCCGACATTGCTCTCGGAATCATAGAGGTACGAAGGGGAACTCTTAAACTTCTTGTACCACATAGAATACCATAGAAACATTAGACCAATGTTGCTGAATTTCCAAACTCTCCTACCTTACTACCGTATCACCGCTTTTTTCAGGTTCTCAAAACATACGAGGTTCCACATCGTCGCTCTACACGTCTGCGCATTCGTGTCGGCTACCATTGTGGCCCCGTGGCGGCCGGTGTCGTTGGCCTAACGGCTCCCAGATATTGTCTTTTTGGTGATACGGTAGGTTTTATATTTTGTGAACAAAAAAAACAAAAAAACAATAAAACGAGTGGCGAAGAAGACAACTGAATGTTCAACAGTGTAAGCGCTCCTTTACACTCTTGAGGGTCACGGGTTTAGGCCCTGCCGCTTTCGAACTAGTTCCTGCAAAACCTGCAAAAATATTCGCAGCGTCAGACCCAGGTTGACAGGTCGGTTCATGAGAACCCCAATCGCAGAAGCCGTGATTAAGAGCCGCCTATGACTCAATGATAAAGCCATACGATAGGATCATACGATTGGTCTTTCCGAGTGGCCATACGATTACCTCACAAGGGAATCAAAAGCTCGAACTCGGGGTAACGACCACGAAGGGTTTTAAAGAACAGGACAAATGACGCCATATACCTCAGGGAAGTCAGGGCCACAGCAGGAAAAGGCTCGGAACTTGCAATATGGCAACGTCAGGCAACAACAGCAGATCCCGCGATTGTTTTCTTTTCTTCTTTTTTTTCTCGAATATGCGACTCTCATCGGTGCTGCCCTCTTCAACGCTAACGCTCTCTCTGTGAAACGGTTAGAGACAAACGATGAGAGGGTGGGCGTGCCGCGGCGCGGGTATGGCCATGCCAAACCGGCTGGGCATACCCTTCGCTACGAAACACGCATCGTCCCGCACCCTTAGGGAAACCTGCCTCCCTTTCGACTTCATATTTTAATCAGCCCATGCACCCCGGCGTTCCAAATCTTAATCCAAAGCCTCTTCCCTTCTCATTAGACTTCAGAGTTGAGGCAGTCGCTGTTTTCTGATATTATGTGATTTATCCTCTCGCGAGAGAGAATAAGAAGGAAAAGGGAAGTAGTCATGTTACCGTTGCCTGCGGCCATGGTGGTAGCACGGGAGTGGTGGCGCGGTAACTATCCCCGTATGGGGCATGTCAGTCATAAGCGAGGCGGAGATCAGCAATCATGCGTCCGGCACATTTCTCAGTAAGCGTACATTTCTTAGCCAATGAACGCAAAATGTGGCATTCAAAACGTCACTTCGAAGAAAACAAAGTGAAGCAATCTTTGGTTATACGAGGTTACTTCGTTTCAATTCTTTTCATCTCTAATAGTGTCAATTTAGGTGAATATGGCATCTCGAATGGAATCGACAGGCGAACCAGAAAAGATCCAGTTATCGGAGCCCGCTCATGACATGCTGGCTAGATACTATCCAGAGTATCAAACTGAGCTCAGAGGAACAGTTGAAGTGAAGGTTAGCTCCATGATGACCGTAGTGATCACTCGAGATTTTTCAATCAATTGTGGACCTCTGAAGTGCCAGCAGGCACGCGGCTTCTTCTAGGAGAATCTGATTGTTTTATGAGGCCCACTGATATGTGAATTTCAAAGCTCTAATCTAGGAGATGATCACAGTGATTTGTCTTGGAGATTGCTTTGGGGACCTCTGGCCCACTAAATATTTTGTACATGACCTAGCTCATGGCCAGATTTCATAAATCGGTTCTCTTGCGCGTTGACCGAATGCTGGAAGTACGTAGTTCCACCCTGTCCTCCCACAGGGGAAATACAGTTTCGTTTGTCCTTGCTTTACATGCACTGGCCATTTTATCAAGTGATAGTCCGAGTGGAACCTGGCGGGAGGGCGATTTACAGTGCTTTGAAACCGTTGGAAAAAATTTTCATTTGTTAATCTCAAGAACTGTTCCATGACCATATCTCCAAATATAACCCCTTTTGAAAACCATAAAGGAATCTATTCTTGGTAAGTTTTCAGTCAACATGCTTAGATGGACCTCCCCTTATTGATTTTAATGAAATTTATTTTGAAGGCCGAATTTTACGATTGAAAAGTTTATCTTCTTGGAAATAAGGGCTAGAGGCGCGTCAGTTGGAGCAGTGATGAAGAATAGAGGCCATTTTGAAATGGTCCGAACCCTAGAAGGACCTCCATCTTTGCCGTTGATCTTGCGCACCGTGTGCTTCATCGCTGTGTCCCACTCCAACACCACACTCTGCTCTTCTATCTATCACTCTGGCTGAGTATAACGTACGACGCGCTGTGCATCAAAATAGACGGTGCGGCAGTACCCGCCCCAAAAAATTCCCCGCGCCTGGCAAGAAGTAAGCCATGCTAGTTGGTAGTTCAAATCCTTCGCTGCAATTGCCGTACGGTCAGCACCTTAAGAAGGTCGCTGCCTACCTAACAGATTTTTCTTTCCTTTCTTCTTCGTTCTTATTCGGCCAAATTTCATTCTTCTTTAAGGGCAATTAGAAGGATCGTCGTAATACGGTACTGGTTGCTTGGTGAGAGCAGTAATGACGACACAATAACCGCAGGATGAAGCTCAGCGACGTGCGACAATGGCGAATCTCGGAATGTGAACACTAACCGCACATTTTCCGTTTATATTATATTCTTTTTTATTATGTTTTTACAGTTTTCGCTAGTCTTCCGATTTACTACTAGTAACTTACGTTGAGTTGAAGACCATAACTTCTTGGCAGAGCTTCTCTTTGCAGTTTCAAAATAGACTTACTAGATATTAAGCCATGCAGAATCATCAGGAAGGCCCTCACGTTTTTGTCTTTATTTTGATAGCACTTCACTTTCCTTTCTTCTCGAAAAGGGGTCAAAACGTGAGGCTCTCTGAGACTAAGGTCAACGACGACTCCGAAGGTCCAAAAGTAGTACATGTAGTAGGTGAAAGGCAATCGTGAACTTTCCGGGAAATAGAACTTTCAAAAAATATTGATGGCTTGTGTTGGGTTCGGGTTATTGGTTTTTGGTGTACGACAAATAGTTTAATTATGTGCATGAGAATAAGTAAAGACCCTATTGTGCGTTTTGGTGATAAAGTTGCTACAGAATCCCTAAATAATGCCTTTTCTCAGGGACTATCCTATTCTTCCGTGTTGCTTTACTAAAACTGCACCCGAATGCTGTCCAGAAATCCTTTTCGTCACTGCAGATGCTATGATCTGGCTGAATTTCCAATTCGTATAACTTCGTATAATGTATGCTATTTTTCCTATTGCGTGTATCCAACGATCACCAAAGCCACTTTCTATGGCCCGTTAGTTTGGTCAGGGCCAGCAACGCCTCCACCACTTTATATCTGCTCGCCATTTTTTCAGAACGAAACGATGGTGTATGCGTACGAATACGATAGATATGTACCCATCATCGAATTCGTCGTACTCCGTCGAGCCTCTTCAACGAGGTGTCAGTTAGTTCTGACATTGAGGATAGAGCGCCTGCAGGATAGACGCGTTCAGGTTGACTACTGGCTGCCCTCCTCTCACTAGTAGGACACATAGGCAAATGGCTATTCAAGAGCTACCTGTACAATTTCTTAGTTAGCTTCAGATGTCAACGACCCTTGGATGAACCGGATACTCACATTGAAAACCCCAATGGATCCGAGGGTACAAATAATCTATGGGGAGAGGCTACACGATATATGTAGGAAATAAAGGGTAGATGAGGTTGAGTAAATGGCCGGTGCGAAATAGGTGCTGTTCCGTCGCAAAAAAACGCTTTGTCGGCGGAGGCGTTATTGCTCCACCGACTCCGGTTCCCAGACACGCCCACCTACGGCTTCAAAGGGAATGCACGTGACATGAAAGCATTACTGCCATTGTTCGACCTTTTTTTCTAGTTGCACTGCTGCTCGACGCCGTCTGGAGCAGCGCACTGACCACTTGAAGCGAGTGCTGATATTTGAGGTGGAGTTACGATGAGAAGTCAGTCATTAGAAAGTCAAAGAGGTGCCTTAAAGGTCAATGAGGGAAGAACTACTTGAGGAAGCTGGCTAGGAACGAAGACTATGACAGTTCTTAGCTGAGCTCGCCTTTCGCCATCTTGATGTGCTGCCTTCTTCAACGCTAACGTGCTCTCTGTTAAACTATTAGAGTGAAATGGCGAGGGGTTACCAATCAGAGGATGTGCAGGGACGCGAGCGGTGGGGGCACGGCCTGCTTGGCCGCTGGGGCGTACTCTCACCGGACGCGCATCGTTCCTCCGCCCTTAGAAGACCATCTGCTTTTTGGCTAGGCGTATCCCCTTCTTCGCTTTCCGGCCTTGTCCTGTAACCCTTCCTTGGCTTCACCTGAAACGACCTCTACATTTAGCGGCAAACTCGTCCAAATTCTTCCAACTCGGTTGGGAGGAAAGAGTCCCCGTTCCTCCGGTTTTTCACCGGTTTTCTTTTTTCTCAGGCTCGCTATATAGCACCTTTACTGTCATATTTCACAGGTATCGGCTTATAGCAGGGCTGGCTTAGAAAGCCGTTAATTGCTCGAAGACGGCAACTCTTTCAAACTATTTATTTTAGCATCACAGTCAAGTATTATTCAGTAAGTGAAATGCACCATATCACCATGTTAACGTAAATATCACATAACAGTCTATTATGATTAACGTCAATTATCATTTGGCATTGGCCAGTGTCATCAGCGTTTCATAAATTTCGACTCCACGAAGGAAGACACGTTCGTTGAGATACTCGTTGTGATCATGCAACAATTGTGGAGTATTGATCATCGGCGAGAAACCAATAGATCTATAGCCAAGCTGAAAAAAAACCTGCCTAGATTTTGGTTTTGTTTCTCATAACCGCACCTTTGGTTTGGTAATTGGGCTGAATGTCCGTCAAGAGTCTGGGTGATTAATTTTAATCTGCGGAACGAGGAAGCGGGTCAGCCTTACACGACCAACAATTCAACTTTGTTTTTGAGGAAACTGTCAGCCCAGTATAAAAACTACAAGCTTTTAGACTTTTGAAAATTTGGCTGAAGTTGAATTTCAACAAGTTTATTTATTTACTTATGTTTATCTACGTTTTCAAAAACTTTTTTACTCCAGTTTTGCAGACTTTTTTTGGAGCGGTTACTTTTCAAGCATTTGTTTTCTGAAAAACGCGAGCTTTTAGGTTTCAGTGTTTTCTCCAGCTCCTCAAAACTATGATTTTTGCATAAATGTAATTGCCTTAAAAATCACGAATATGCGCTTTTCAAAAATTTACTCAAGCGGTAGTGGATTAAAAACCGGTTCTTCATGATTTTTTCGTTTTTTTTTACTCGAGAATTACATCCTTCGTACTATTGTAATTCATGGGTGAAACTCCAGTTCGGGGGGGGGGGGGGGGGGGCACTCCATTTTTTCTCCAATACTCAAGATAAGGATTAGAGGGCTCACGACACGTAATCGACTCATTTAAAGTAGACTTCTGATAAATATTGGTGTAATGGGTGAGAAACCCTGAAACGTTTTCACATTTCCGCCTGCCATGACCCAAGGGAACGGTCCTGGACCAGGAGAAAGGACACCTCCGCAAAGGGCTAAGGGTGCAGGAGCTCCAGGGTGGATCACCTGTGCAGAAAAGTGGATGGGATGTGGGCAGGTAGTGTGGAATGTAGGACATCCACCGGTCCTTATCAAAAGTACGCTCGAAATGAGTCGTTCACTTATTATCTTATCCGTAGTGTTCGATAGCCCAAAGAACTGCTCTCTAGTACTACGGATAAGATAGCAATGGAGTGCCCCCCCCCCCCCCAAATGGATTTACCTCTACTCCTCGTATAAACATTAAATCCCTCAGCTTGCGCATGCTTCTCTGAATTCGCTAATGCATTATCAAAGGCGAAATATCGCTACAATTACATTGCCTTATCAGCCGCACTCACGACTCCCCCACGGCACCCCATGAGCCTAAATACAACCCCCCCCCCGGTTGGTCAACCTGTAACCAGCGGCACGATTGACCCTGGCGGCGCCCGCTTCGTCAGCGGCCTCGCTATTCGTTACCCACTTTTAACGGGGGCCCGGCAGCCTGTGGGCTTTGTAACGCAATTCGCCCAGTCAATTGCTGTATATTCGTCAGTTGAATCTGTGTTCCTTGGGTCAGATTACCTTCCTGGGGACAACACTTCTAGCCAAATGTACACCTACTCGAGGAGAGAAAAATTTCAAAAAAATTTAGGAGAATGGACAATAAAAATACAGTGCCTAATTTTTCTTCAGACCCATTTCAGCAAATGCCCTTACCTCTCGAATAAATCTTGAATCCGTAGCAGCGCTGAAAATCTCCTTAGTGAAATCGCAGTGCCTGAAACACCAGGTGAGTACTAGCAAGTACTTGGAAAATACATTGAATTGTTCTCACAATGGTCCTCAAAAAAAAACAATTTGAGTGCTGGTTTCGCACTTTTAAACTTCCTTTCTAATTAAGAGTTATTATAAACAAAACTAGCAATTTACATGAACTCACTGGTCCCTAAGCGACTTCTCGAAAGCATTCCACCATGGATCGTCTGCCGTTGTGGGGGTCATATTTCTATTTGTGTCCTTCTACAAAACAAATAAGGTATTTCAGGTTCTTATTGCAACTCATTTCTAGGTGGATTTTACGGTGAAAAGACAGCCTATCGGAAATTATGTTAGTCATTGATGCACGAAAGAAGAAAATATTTGAGAAGTATGGCCTGGAACCCGAGAAATGGGACCCCTTCCTTGCCCGTTGATTTGCGCATTGATGCGACTCTCATCGGTGCTGCCCTCTTCAACGCTAACGCTCTCTCTGCTGAACGGCTAGAGACTCAGACACGAGACGACGCGAGAAGGGAGAAGGTTACGGCCTGCTTACTGGTTGGTGGACTTTACTTTCTACCGTAGCTTATAATATAAAGATTAGGGGCTAACCAATAAAAGGACCGCGAACTCCGCCTATACGCCAAACTTGCTCTGGGATTTCCCAACGGTTTTATATTGTTGCAATATGAGACTACGGACCACTTAAACCCAGGGCTCTGAAGAGCGTCAATGTACTCCCGTCGTGCGCATTCGCCTGTCCCAGTAACGGCTGGACCATCGCAACTGTGCGAGCTCGAATTTTTACCACACAAAGTGACTCACGCACCCCACACCCTTGCCATTACCCTCCCCTTTTTCACAAATCTCCCCTTTGGCACCGTTAGAAGCCGCGGTAGCGCTGTGTTTTAGCAGCGGACGTTCTACCTTTTTTTCGACAGAGAGCATAGAGGAATACTTGTTCAGTCAGGTCACCCGACGTCCAATAATTATCACATATTTCATTCGGGAACGATATGCCCAACAAGGAGACCACCAAATGAGTTATTGGAAGGCCTTTTATCGTACATCTCAGGTTTTTTACTATCGGAGTTTTGAGTACAAACCTGTAGGAACTCGTACGTGACACCTTCTCCAGCATCCTTACACCAACTGGCAAGCATCCGTTCGAACTCGTCGAAATCAGTTGTGGGCGTGATTCGGATGTCGAAATCTTGAAGCATGCTGAGTCAGTGAGCAAGTTTGAGTTGAACCTGATCTTAAGTTTGACGCTACGGTTCTTAAAGGCACTGGACGGAATAGAGTTGATGGGTTATATAGTTAGAAATCGAAAAGAAGTGCAATGAGGAAAGCGAGTGGGAAAAAAGAACCAAAAAACATACATAGA